ATAACCATTTACACGCACGAGCATTATCACACGAGCTCCGCTCCTCCCGACCGCAGACACAGGTTTACAAGCCACTTTTTCCTGCGTTTTTCAAACAGTTTCTTGACTTTTCCCCACTTATGAACAACACACCTTCGTACACGATAAAAGCTCCTTGTGGTTTCTCGGTTTGGCCAATTTAAGCATCCATAAACAACGCAAAACACTGGCATTTTGAGTTTCTGCTAGTGATTCCTATGGAGAGAAAAATCACTTCCTGCCCTCCAGCTTTCATTTTGCGCGTCATCAGTGACGTCATGTGCAAACAACCTATTGTCAGTCTTGTGTCTTGTGTTTCTCTCCCTCTTATGCCCATATTTGGTCATTTTCCTGTCCTTGTTTAGTTTAATTATGATTCCTTTCAGCTGTGTTCTATTAATTACCCTAGTATTTAAGTTCCTGCCTGTTCAGTTCCCCTTTGGTCTGGTCTAGTCGTTACGTTCCTTGTGTCTCAGCCCTGCCTTGTCTTGCCTCTGTAGGGATGGATTAAAGCCTGTTTATTTGAGTTATTCCTCGTCTCCGTGTTGTTCCTCCCCGCTGTGTGCACTGTGACAGAAGACCAGACCCAAAAACAGTGAGCGGCGCCCATTAGCCCATTATCCCCATTTTGTTTTCCGTTTGTGAAAGTTTTTTAGTTTTTCCCCCGCGGCATGGAAGTCGCTGCTCGTCTTTCCGCCCTAGCCCGCAGAGATTTATCGTGGGAGTTCGGCGGGATCTCCGGGAGCACTGCGAGTCCGCCGGCCGCTCATCAGTCAAGTTCGCCGGCCGCGGCTCTCTCCAGTCCACCGGCTGCGGCTCACTCAAGCCTGCCGGCCGCTACGAAGTCAAGCCCACCGGCTGCGGATCTCTCCAGCCCGCCGGTCGCTCCAAGGTCAAGTTTGCCGGCCGTTCCAGAGTCAAGTTTGCGGGCTGCAGCTCGCCCAAGCCCGCCGGCCGCGGCTCACTTCCAGCCCCCTGAGCTCGCTCCTGTGGCGGCTCCAGCCCCTGAGTGCGCTCCAATGTCAGCTCAATCCCATGAAGCCATGTTTGCAAGTCTTGTCTTGTCCATAGAGACCCTTCGAAAGCTGGCGACTTCTCTTGTCATGGCCACGGAGGCCATTCCCAAGCCGCTTGTGTCTCCAGGTGCCTTTATGGAGGCGGTTCCTGAGTTTAACCCTGAGAGGGCCCCTGACTCCACGTCCAGCCCAAGGAGGGCTGTTGTGCTCCTGTCATGCCCAGAGGGCCTCAGATTCCGAGTCTAGCCCAGAGTGGGCTCCAGTTCCTGAGTTTAGCCCCGAGAGGGCTCCGGTCTCCACGTCAAGCCCAGGGAGAGCTGCTGTCCCCCATCAGGCCCAGAGAGGGCCTCAGTCCCCGACTCTAGCCCAAGGAGGGCTCCTGTTCCCGAGTTTAGCCCAATGAGGGCTCCTGTTCCCGAGTTTAGCCCAAGGAGGGCTCCAGTCCCCGGATCCAGCCCAGAGAGAGCTGCTGTTCCCTCGTCCAGCCCAGGCAGGGCCTCTAGACCCAAGTTTCTCCCTAAGGATTTTTTTGGGGGGGGCTATATGGCTCGGGCCGTAGAGGCCGGGCCGAAGGATGAGGTCAAGGCCACGGAGGCCGCCCTGCCATGGCTTCCTGTGCTCCCTGCTCCGCCATGGCCTCCTGTGCTCCCTGCTCTGCCATGGCACCCCGAACTGCCTGATCCGCCGTTGGATCTTAGGAGGCGCGTGGATGCGCCTTCAGGGGAGGGGGGTAATGTCAGTCTTGTGTTTCCCCTCCCTCTTATGCCCATATTTGGTCATTTTCCTGTCTTTGTTTAGTTTAATTATGATTCCGTTCAGCTGTGTTCTATTAATTACCCTTGTATTTAAATTCCTACCTGTTCAGTTCCCCTTTGGTCTGGTCGTTACGTTACTGTGTGTCTCAGCCCTGCCTTGTCTTGCTTCTGTTGGGATTGATTAAAGCCTGTTTATTTGAGTTATTCCTCTTCTCTGTGTTCCTTGTTCCTCCCCGCTGTGTGCACCGTGACAGTAATGAAGGTAATTAAGGGCCAGTATTTGGATAAACCAAACTATATCATAAAGCGAACTGAGATAAGCTGGGAAGTCTTAAATGCAGTGAGTAAAATGTGGCTTAAACAGTACTCACAGTTTTCTCACAGTGCTCACTGACACCTTTTCACCAGTGACAGTCCTAGTGACAATGGTGCTCTCCACCTTGCCGCTCTCCAGAAGATTCTTACACCGTGATGCCACAGTAAGCAGGTACCACTTCCCACTCATCCAGAGAGAATGAGTTTTTAATCAGGTAGTGAAAAATCACTCTGCAACAAACTATGCACATACATTTACATTTACATTTACATTTAGTCATTTAGCAGACGCTTTTATCCAAAGCGACTTACAAATGAGGACAATAAAAGCAGTCAAAACTAACAAAAGAGCAACAATATATAAGTGCAAATGACAAGTCTCGGTTAGCCTAACGCAGTACACGTAGCAAGGTGTATATATATATATATACATACATATATATTATACTTATTTAATTTAATTTCATTTATGAAGAAATATATCTGCCGTCTGTTGAAACAACATTGGGCAAGATTAATGGCCTATTTAATATGAATAATGTTCACTCATAGTCTATAAAATGATGTGCCTTTTTTATTCAATGTGCCAAAACGAATTAAGTTGATTGCTATGACATGAAGGATGTTGAAATATACCTGATCAATGTTGATGTTCTGACCTGGAGCTAGTTTTTCAATCGTCTTTTCTGCCTCGGATTTCTTTGTCTTCGGTGGTGTTGGTTTAAACCGTGCTCTTCGTGCCTCGGCAGGCTCCCAGAAACCGAGCCACGTGAGCACAAAGAACAAATGCAGCCAGAGGCGAATCATGAAATCGGTTCTTTTTAACGTGTTCACTAAAACGCTTTATACCAGTCTTCCCCTACAGCTGTTAAAATTTTGCTAATATGAGTCAGTCAACTGTCCAGTGTTGCACAACACAGATTAGGATGACGACCCTCTACTCAGGTTTATCATTAACACATAGACAAACCCACACAAATACACATTTTTTGGCAATGTTCACTTTAATACAACTTGATAAGTTTATTTTTTTTATTTTGTCATAAAGTGTTTGCACTCGGATTATAATGTACAGTGGTATGCAAAAATACAATATATCATAATGCAACATTACAGTGCACAGGAACATAATGACACCTTCTTATGGTATGTTTTATCAACCACACTTAAAAATAAAGTTTTTTTTAAAATTTTTTTTTATTGCCATCTGTTTCCAATAAGAAATTGTAACATCTTTGGAACCCTTCCAGTAGGTTCTTTACAGTGGAAAAGGTTCTTTAGAATTTAAAATGTTCTTTACACTAAAAAAAAATGGTTCTTTTAAGGACTGTTCATAGAAAGGAATCATTTTTGAGGAATCAAAAATGGCATTTCTGCTAAAGACACCCTTTTGGAACCTTTATTTTTAATTTGTAGACTGTAACTCATAGCATACCACAGTGGACATTTGTTATTCTAATCCTATTTGTTTTCTTTATTTGCATGAAATAACTGTAAAATACTGTCCAGAGATATATGGATGTCTCTACATTATTTCTCTCTGGGCTTAAAGTTTAGAGCAATGCTGTTGATGCAGAATCGCTGGCCAGTAGGATCTGGACCATCATCAAAGACGTGTCCAAGATGGGAATCACACTATAAAACAAAATGACATGTTATAATGGTATCTGGCAACCTGAAAGGACGAGTGGAATTATTACTATTTACATTGTATGTTAGCAAACAGCACAAAGTATGGTTTCCGAAAAAGCCAACACAATGATTAAACCGGCCGACATCATTGTCCTGCGCTCACATGTTTGCAGATAACCTCTGTTCCTGTGCTACCAAGTGAGTTGTCAGGGCGACGGACAATGTTGGCGTGACTCTCGTCTTTTTCCCATGTGCCGTGAGCCTCATAGAAGGACGGCCACCCAGCTCCTGAATCATATTTCACTTCTGAGCTGTCGGAGCAAAAGGCAAAATTGTATTTATATTTGCAAGTTTTAATTTATAATTTATAATAACAGATTTGAATATTTATTTCATATTTAATAGATTTAATATTTTAATATTATTTTTGTTAATTTATCATGTTGTTCTTTTGTTACTCCTAACTGTATATATTTAAAAGTATCAATCTGTCTTCGAGGAGAATTACACAATTTTAATTGTATTTTGATTTACACTCTTAAAAATAAAGGTGCTTCAAAAGGTTCTTCACAGCGATGCCATAGAAGAACCATTTTTGGTTCCACAAAGAACCATTCAGTCAAAAGAACCATCTCTTTCTTACCTTTTTGTAATCTGAAGAACCTCTTTTCACCACAAAGAACCTTTTGTGAAACAGAAAGGTTCTTCAGATATTAAAGGTTCTTTATGGAACCATTTAGACAAAAAGGTTCTTCTATGGCATCGTGAAGCACCTTTATTTTTAAGAGTGTAGTTTAGTGGCCTTTTAATATTTTTTCCTTCCCCCCTAATCACAGACGTTTTTTGCGGAAGCCTAATGTCGCTGAAGCAAGTGAACAGTTTGGTGAGTATTGTGTCAGAAGAGTGATGCTGTGTGCGGTAATGCTAGTCTGTGTTTATCATTATATGGCATCTTTCCTCAGGTCAGCTGGCCAAGGAGCTCAAACAGCAAGACTGTCCTCAATATGCTGCCTTCTGTAATCTCGCCATGGCCCGGTAACACAGCATCTCTCATAACTATCAATTCTTCATCCTAGTTTCTGATCTAAAGAACATGTGGAAATGGTTTGTCTTTTAAGAGTGTAGGTTTTTAAAAGTTCTTACCTAAAAAGAGGGGAGTCACAGCAAACACAGTGGTACATGCCCACCTCATTGTGATTCAAGTAGATGCCACTGAATGGCTATAAAATAAAAAGTGTGTACTTATTTTTAATTTTTTTTCTCAAAGAAAAATTAAGGTATCCAGAAAATTGTCTGATATGTGAGTTACCAAACGTACCACCTCTGTGCCTTTTTCTCTTGTAACAACATACTGTTCTGGAGTCAGCTTCCTCTGCCAATCTGTGGACTGGTCATAACGCGTCAATGACTGCAAACCTGTATAAACAGCCATAAACGCAATACATTTTTGTTCCAACACATACATCTTAATATAATGGATATTAATCTCACAATTTGTAAAGAACTGTAAAAAAAAAAAAAAAAAAATTCCAAGTGTTTCTTCCTTTTTATATTTCTCTAATGAAAATGTTTCAAACAAAAATGTCTTGGGAATATTGTTTTAATTAGTAGCAATTTTACATTCCCTCATGTTGGTCTTCTAGTATCCTCTTTAATTAACTAACAAAGTCAGGTCTTTAATGACGTCATTCTCTAGGCAGTGACATCATTTCTGTTGATAAAACAACAACATGAATTTGATGAGATTTCTATGTTTTGTGGTATTAGTCAAAGAAATCGAATACATCATTGTTATACTATCTAATAAGGTAAAATATTACTAACATATTTAAAATGATATATATTGGGAATTTATTTGAGATTTTGAGTAATTTCCGGCGGCAGCGCTGAGATTATTATTTTTTTATTTAATTATTTAATTATTTATTTGAACATGCACCACATAGAAACAGTTTCTTTTGCAGGCCCTTTTCAAAAGCCAACACTGTGTTTGAGTAATCAGATCACGCATGCATGTTCTGAGCTACATGACTAGAATAACTGCACTTTGCACCGACTCAATAGATAACGAAATGGAATTGCACAAAATTTACATTTCACAAAATAGAATAATTATAACAGAAATAATGTCTTGAGGTTCTTCATTTTTTTAAACACAATATAGATCGAGGCAAAACCCCTACCCGTTGATGTAGACATCAGCCGAATCCCTACAAATATCCTCTTTTGTTGTAAAATTGATTTGACAGTCGCTCCGTTGGAAACGATAGAGGAGAAGCGAATTAGAAAACGTGACATTTTTCTCGACATATTATTTCATGCAGTGGCCTGACTTTCTCCACTATTAGTTCACATGGGCTACCCAAAAGACTGAAAAGAAGCTGAATGGAGCTCAGTTGTCTTCATTCCCCCCCTCACAGCTCGAGCAGCGGAAACCGGTCACAACTCAAAGACTTTATGGGTCACGGTCGACTGACTGACTGAGACTGATCAAACTTTGCACCTTTTGTCAATGGACTAATCATCTGATCATCATGCACTTCGAAGTTTTAAAAAAAATTGTTTTTTAGGTTCCTTGTTTTTTGTCTTATCGGAATATTTTTGCTCTTATCATAGTCTCTATTTCATCGCAGACTTTGACCTTCATATGGGAGAACAACGTGCAACGCCTTCTACAACAGTTATTACCATCAGAGATAATGCAGTGTAACTAAGATTTGACCAGAATTCACATAATTTTTGATAATACTTTATTAGAAGTAAATTCACTTCACCTTGTACAATAAATATAACATAAAATGATGCATTAATCACTTTCCTGACACAACACCAAAATTTATATCAAAAACAATTCTTATATTAAATAAATCTGAACTATATATATATATATATATATATATATATATGTATGTTTGTGTGTGTGTGTAAATATAAGACTAACATAAATTGGTCCGATATGCTAGAGCTGCTGGTGAGTTGCTTTTCATGAGGTTTCCAGGTTGATGCATGAGATCTATGATATAACATTCAGGCTGAGAGTAACCACAAGTTTTCTTTGGACCGGTAATGAAGATTTCATTGCAGGCA